CTGGCATCCAGGTATGGGTCAAGGGCATTAAGGCTGCTACTTTTCTTCAAAACTGCTTTCCTTTCCTTATCATGATGACGATCTTTAGGCACACTTCCGGTCTGGGTTTGGAAATCTTTCAGAATCTTGATTTCTTTATCGAAATAATTCGCTTGCACCAGCTTGAGAATTTCTGTTTCTGCTTGTTCAAGGTCTCTGACCATAAAGGAAGTAGCCGGGCAACCTTCACATTCACGGCTTCGTCCATTAACTTGAGGACCGTCAACAGTTAGAGGTCTCTTGTCTGCTTTACTGGCTCTCATCTTGAGACGTCGTTTGTATTCCATACAAAGCGCAACTGCGCCCTTTAGGACTTGCCACTTGGAGAATCTTTTGAATCTGCTTAACATGTTTTCATGTTCTTCAATCACTGTCGCGTTAGCGGTAACCCTTTTAACGTCAGGAGAATTGTGGTCGACCTCGTTTTCGTATGAGTCTTGTTGAGGCCAGTGATCTTCCGTCTGCCACAAGAAGTCTGGGCCCTTAATCCACTGCGACCTTTGCATAAACTCCTTAGCGTTCATCCCCCTCGATGCTTCATCTGCTGGGTTGGATCCAGACTCCACGTAGCGCCACTGGTCTGGTGAAGTGTGGTCACGGATGAATTGCACTCTATTTGCAACATACACTTGGAATCTTCGAGATTCATTGTTGATGAACCCGAGGACAACCTTACTATCGGTCCAGTAGAAGTCTTGGAGTCCGTCATAGTCTAACTCTTCTTTTAGCATGCTTGCAACCCTTACTGAAACGGTAGCGGCAGTTAGTTCAAGTCTTGGAATAGTGACTGTCTTCAACGGTGCAACACGAGCTTTCCCCATAACAAGAGAACAATGAATTCTTCCGTTTTCATCAACCAGTCTGAGATAAGAACATTGTCCGTACCCGACTTGAGACGCATCTGACATATTATGTAGCTGAGCAGTGGCAATGCTTCCAAAATCAGGAGGCTGAAAGTTTCTTGGGATGTTCAGCTGCTCTAATAGCGGTAACTGACTTCTCCATCTTCCCCATTTGGCAAGAACTTCTCCCTCGATTGGCTCGTCCCAGTCTTTTCCGTGACAGATCTCTTGAAGTATCTGCTTTCCAACAAGGACGACGGGCGCAATCAGCCCCAGAGGATCAAAGATCGAGCTTATAGTTGCCAGTATACCCCTACGGGTGCACGGCTTGTCCTTCAACTCTATCCTGAATTTGAATGCGTCCGATTCAATGCACCATTCTACACCCAATGCTCTCTCTATTGGTAACTTGTCACTGCCTAGGTCTAGGCCCTTGATCTCCTTTGCTCTGTCTTCAGCAGGTACTGACATCATCACCTTTCTACTGTTGCTGACAAATTTCGTTAGTTTGAACCCTCCCTTTGCACACATCTCTTTAACAGCTTGTACTAGTTCTACAGCGTCCTTCTCTGTCGGTACCGAACTCAGAGCATCATCGACGTAAAAGTTCTTCCTTAATGTTTCGGCAGCTCTTGCACCAAACTCTCTTTCACCGTCTTCGGCTGTACGTTTCAAGGCGAAGTTAGAACACCCTGGAGATGAACCAGCTCCAAAGAGGTGCACTGTCATGCAGTACTCTTGAGGCTCTTGAGTTAAATCTCCATTTGGCCACCATAAGAAGCGAAGGAAGTTCTGATCTTCCCTTGGAACCTTGACTTGAAAAAACATTTTCTCTATGTCAGCCATGAAGGCTACCTTCTCCTCTCTGAATCTTGTGAGCACCCCAGTGAGCTTGTTTGTTAGATCGGGCCCTTGCAATAGGTGGCCATTCAGCGATTCACCCTGGTAACGAGCTGAACAGTCAAATACTACGCGTATGCTGCCTGGTTTTTTGGGGTGGTAAACCCCGTGGTGAGGTAAGTACCAGGCCTTTCCTTCTTGATGGGGTAGCTCTTCAACCTTGACCTTTCGAGCATATCCCTTCTCTATGATTTCAGTCATGAATCTGACGTAGTCAGCACGATACCTTGCGTCGCCTTGGAGTCTCTTCTTAAGGCCGTGCAGGCGTTGCTCTGCTTGAGGACGGTTATTGGGTAGCTGTACATTCTTTTCTCTAAAGGGCAGAGGCATCTCGTAATGCATGTCATCTCTATGATGGATTCCATCTTCTACAATCTTCAGGAACTGACGGTCTTCTCTTGATAATGCGACTCCGTGCTCCCTTTCAGCAAAGTCCACCTCAAACATTCGAGAAACCACTTGAGGGGTTAGCCGCTCCTTAATCTCTGTCTTAGCAATGATGTACCCATTCACGTTATCCTCTGTGTTGCTCTTAAGAATCTGAATACGGTTACAATGTACTTGTTTACTGCTCTTTTGGTTAACAGGACCGTTTACGTGCCATCCCAGTAGTGATCTTACTGCATAGGGTTCATTCTCATTCCCGCAAACAATGTCTCTTGGTCGCACTGCACTAGGGCAATTTAGTCCGATCAGGAGTCCTATTTCTACGTCTTCCA